GCGGCAGGCAAGTTTTGGTCTGATGCAGTGGCGGCAAGCCGCTGAGAGAGAGAGAGAGAGAGTGTGCGAGAGAGAGCGAGCGAGAACGAGCACAGCAGCAGAAGCAGAGGCACCCCGCTTCGACCCGCAACAATCAACCTTTCTGAGCTTACCTGGCGAGACGAGTAAAAAACTCTGAATTGAGAGCAACAACGACTAACAGCTTCACGTCTCGCCAAACTGTCGTGACAGGAAGGCTTCCAACTTTCTTGTTAGTTAACTCAATTCTATCATTTGGCTTCGTGCCTGCTCGCATTAACACGTATGTAAAAAGCAAAGTTGTCTCTCTGTGCATAATTAATTAAGCACTGTAGCATGAACACATATGGGGGGAGTGGAGGTATAACTCCATCTTTCTTGACCTCGGCACTGGAAGTGAGTAATCAACTTCGGGCACTGCAGCTTTAACACCAGGGAAAGGGCAGAAGAGTCCTCGGCACCTATTGGGTAGGAGGCTGGGTGGGTCCCAGAGTCGGTCTGGACACTGTGGAGAAAAGAAAAATCTTGCGCTGCCAGGAATCGAACCTGGGCCATCCACCCGTCGCTATACCGACTGAGCAATCCAAACTCCTCATTAAGTTAACAGGCCATGGAGGCCCATAGGGTTGTGAGACGTCGAAGTTCTCACATTTTCTAGAAAATCGGTTCAAAGTTATAGTTGTCGGCCTTAAGGGCCGGCGACCATTTGCCCCCCAGGAAGATTCCTGGTACTCATTTCTGTTATAGGCTGAGTCGACCCCAGGGTCATAGTTCGGCTTGAAGGATTAGATCAATTGATAGAAATCCAACGAATTCATCGGGAATCGAACCCCGCGACCTTACGGTTTGTAGCATTGTGCCTCAACCAACTACGTTACCGCGTGCCACACCCTCATTAACTTAAATTAGATTCAAATATTAATAATAGCATTTTAATAATAATTAAGCAGTTGATAACAGTAATACTGATAAATAGAATGACAACATAAATTTGGGTAAGTGGTGACAATGGGGAATGGATGGAACCGGCTGAGAATATTGTTCAATGATGGTATTAGCGTCCTTACAAGTCCGGTTCTATTGCCAAGTAGTAGACCCAGAACACATAAGGAAGGTGCTTAATTGCGGGATGCTGAGAGGAATATTTGTACCTAAACGGGAGGAATTAAGAGCAGAATCGTGGGGGGGGGGTTCATAATTTATATTTTACTTACTCTTCGGTTGCACGGCCCTCTAATGACCTTTCCCGTCAATGCTTTGTGATTTGACATGCATTTCACCAGATATTATTTTGGCTAATCGCGGTAGGGTCTTCTCCACGGCGTCCAGACCGGTTCCAGGGCCCACCCAGTCTCATATTGATGGATACGAGGGGCTCTTTCCCCTGGGGTAAAACGGACGGGTGGTGAAGCTGGCCATTCACCTCCAACTAATGCTGAGGTCAAGAAAATATGGATCTATACATCCATCCCCCCATGCACTTTCATGGCTTATTGTTTAATTAGTTAAGTACAGGGACAACTTTACCTTTTACCAGTTCTTTTTATTTACATAAAATTATCAATCAGAATTACATTTGATTCTATAAGCTAATACCTTTTACCAGTGAAGGATAATAAGATGAGAAGGTATGTAGCACGCATAGGAGAGACGATAATTATATACAAAATTGTAGTTGCACTGTCTGAATGAGAGAGACCACTTGGTATACATTGGTTTCGGTGAAACATTAAGGAAATAGGGTTGGGGCTGCGGATTGGATTTCTCTGTAGAAGGATAGGCTTAGTGACGGGCTCTTGTGAATACGGTGATGAACCGTCGGACTCAGTAAAGGGAGAATATTTTGATGGTTAAAACCCAGCAGACTGCAGTAATACTAATGTCGTAGGCCTGTATGTTCGTGTTCTGAAGGTCCCTGGTTCGAATTCTGGACGATAGTCCCAATTTAATTTTTCGTCATTTTACCCCGTCTATCAAGACGAATTTTGAGACAGCAGTATCTTTAAATTAATTGTGACCTGATCCCACGCAGCTTCAAATTCATCATCATCATCATCATCATCATCTTCTCTTTCTTCTTCTTCTTCTTCTTCTTCTTCTTCTTCTTCCTCTTCTTCTTCTTCTTCCTCTTTCAGTCTACGCTATGTAAGTTCTGCATTTGAAACTAAGTTGATAGATCAAAGAAATCTTCTCATTTCGTCTATAAACGATCTAAAAATTTCTTATGACGTTACATAATCATCACAATCTTCATCATATTCATTATCATCATTATTATTGTCATCATTGTCATCGTTGCTGTCTTTGCCGTTGTCGTAATTGTTATCGCTTTTGATGTCACAACAAATCTTGTAGTGTTCATTCCGTAAGTACGAAAGCTTTCGTCACCTTCTCTAAGGAGACGCAAAACGGATTGTGCATTGTTTGAGGCCATAGGATTGATCATGAAGACGGAATGAGCACGTAAAAAAGTAAAGGTATATCTGTAACAGGCCGTGGAGGACCATAGGGTTGTGAGACGTTGAGGTTCCCACATTCTCTAAACAATCGGCTCACAGATGGCGGTAGGGTTGTCAGCCCTACGCGCCGGCCACCCTTTACCCACCAGGAAGATTCCTCGTACTCATTTCTGTCAGAGGCTGAGTCGACCCCAGGGTCATAGTGTGGCCGCAAGGATTAGGTCAATTAAAAAATCCAATGACCTCATCGGGACTTGAACTCCGGCTTGTAGCATTGTGCCCCCTTGGAAATTATTTTCACTTCTATTTCACTAACATCTCTTGAATGAAAATTATAAGGTAATTATGAGTGATACTTTTATTAATTAAATATTGGGGAGCGCCAAATGTTTTTATATATCTTCAAATATTTATACCATATATAGTAGTATATAACTTAAATAAAGACACGTTTCTAAAACAACATTCTTCTGTATTTATTTTGTCTTCGAATGGCAATTGTACCCACGCAGACAGTGTCCTTTTGACTGTTTCTGCATGATGCAAGTAAGACACGTTCGCTTGTCTCTTGTTACTTTACTTGTTTTCCCTAGCAAGTATAAGGAATGTTATTAAACTTTTATCATTTTTTATATCTAGTGATATTTCTTTTTGGATGAACTTTATTCAGGAGCCTAATATTCTATTAAAGGTGTAGAGTCCCTTACACAAATAAATTCCTTCGGGTAATGGAAACACAGACCAAAGAAATAGCTGGAACAACGTCCTGGTGTTTCGAAGCCGTGACTATGATGTAAGAGCCATTAATTACATAAACATCTATGGCGCACAAGGTAAGGGCAGTAAGGTAAGCAAGAACAAGTACAGCTAATTGCAAGTTCCATTTGCTTGAACTCCATAATGTGTAAGTGATTATAGGAAAAGACTTTTTAAACTAGGGCCTATTAATCTAACCTTCCGTGCAAGCGTTACAAATAATTGTTGAATTTATGATGACATGTAACAGATACCATTGGAGTTCCATTTAATATTGTTATGTTACGAATGACAATGAGTTCCTGATTTGATGACTGGATTTATTGGCACTTCTTTATAATTACAGTCAATGATAACAGCTCACACATTGAACTGCTGAACGTGTCTGACAAGTCTCCTGAAATCACGCCTGAACTCCCTTTTATAACTACAAGAGAACTGAACAGATATCACCGTCTCCAAGGGCGTCTCTTCATGAATGCACTGTCTCGGAAACGTGCATGCACCGTTGCCTAGCAAATGGATAATTCCTTTTCTAGCTCCATTATTCCAGCTTTTAGGCGATGTTTACCGAGCATTGCCTAGAAAATTATTATATTCCGTCAGAATATTTTGAACTAAATCATTTGATTTTGTAATCTAATAATTTTACATGACTATAATTACTGAGGATGTGAAAGGTAAAGCAATTAGAACTATATGCTGTGTTGTCTCTTATATTATTAATTCGCTATCCCGTTTTTATTAATAAATATAAATGTATTTTATTGTATACCTATACCACGCTTTTATTTTGTGTCTGGAAGAAATTAAGAAGTTAAATTGCTTAAACAAATTCATCTTTGAATTACAGAATTTCTTACACGTTTATAAGAAAATATTTAAGTGATATTATTATTTTGTGCGTGGTTCAGATGCATCATTTAAGATGTTAACATATATATTTCTGGGTTACAGAATTTCTTGTAATTTTAGAATAAAACACTTAAGAGATATTTAATTTTTCTTTATTTTTAAAAACATAATAAACATAACATACTCCTAAAACAATGTTACAGATTAACTTGCTCACCTGTCTAAATACCCTCAAAAAGTCATCTGTACGAAAGTTTGTAAATTAGCGTAAATATTTCGGTTTGTAATTAGTGGATACAAGAAATAATGCAAGATATTATTACGGTGCAGTAATAACAGTCGATTTTTTGGCAAGAGGATAGACTAGCGTGCCAACATCTCACTTGTGTTTTCCGACATTGCGTTTCTGAAAATTAGTATGCAATTAGTAACGTGACTTGCAACGGAACTCTGGCTATAAAGCCAGAGAGTATAATTTTGTGATCTCAGTTTCTGCTATATTTTACAAGTTACGAGATGTGAATTGCCTTTACATTGGCGGCAATAACACAACGTGTGAGCGTCGATTAAATCGATCATTCGTGTAGACATGACCATCATTAATTCTTACCCATGACCAATGTTAATTCATGAACTTCCGTTCACGTAAATCATAAAATATAGTACTTAATGCAGTGGAAGTGTTCGAAATTAGAGTGCTTTAAGGGTGGTGATAATATGGTTAAATCCCTTTTTGCAAACACCTCATGAAATTATCCTAATGCAGTCATTCTCTTCTAATCAACGATTCGATCCATTGAAACTCCCACAATATGTCCAAAACCCAAAACGATCGCCATTTCCAAGTCAATTGACGATCGCCAATTAGAGAACTTTGGCGATTTTTACAGGCTCATCAAAGTCGGCCAGCCGTTCAGGTAGTGTAGCAGTGCAAGCTTATCAGTTCTCACTGTTTTCCATGACATTCTGCAACTTCAAAACAAAACGAGTGAAATTAGAGGTCATACAATGAAAAGCAGAGCGAATAATAAACTTTTGTTCATTAACCAACAAATCGCTAATCAATTACTTTTAATGGAACAAATTAACGTTGATTAATGGGGTTTGACTCTATTAGAATGTTTGAAATTTTATGTCATGTTGAACATCTACTGGACTAATGAGCATGGCTGTAATTACTCGAGTACTTTCATCGCCTTACACATAGACACTGAAGTATTTCTCGTCCGTTGGATTCGAGACTAGTGTAATGAGACAACACGCTCCAACCAGTTTTATCCATATCACTCTATTAGACTGAATGTAACGGAATATATCTATTCTGCCAAAGTGTCTTCATATACACGTAAAGCTATCCCTGTAACAGACCGTGGTGGCCCATAGGGTTGTGAGACTTCGAGGCTCCCACATTTTCTAGACAATCGGCTCACAGATGGCGGTGAGGTTGTCAGTCTTACGCGTTGGCCGCCCTTTACCCCCAGGAAGATTCCTGGTACTCATTTCTGTTAGAGGCCGAGTCGACTCCAAGACCGTAGTGCGGATGGTCAAAATAAATCGTAGGAAATAACCGACATAGTCAAAGTATAGTTTAAATAAAAGGGGGGTGTGGTGGACAGAGCATATAGAACAGAGCAGAGAAAAGAGAAATTCATAAAAGTACGTATCTCAGAAAAAGTGAAATGAATACAGCACATTGGGGGACCGGAAGCAGCTAACAGAATAACAGTAACACGGATCTTGAAGTGCCAGATATTTCGAGAGAGATTTGAACAACCTCTTCTGTTTGTTCTCGCTTCACTGAGTGATATTACAGAAGGATTCGCTTAGGGATCTAAAGCAAGAAACGACTCGGACCAGAGATTCTGACACCAGGGCCAGTCGAAGCTTCTTCAGGAGGCGCAGTGAGATTTAGGCCTATTGCGTTGTAACTGTGCAATGCAGGTTGTTCTGGCTCAGAAACATCTTCAAAAGTTTACTCTGTATAAGTTTTTATGCGCACGCAATAAGTAACTGTAATTTTTAATAAAAGAAAATTAATTATATATTGTCATATTCGTATTATCCTAAAGGACAACTTGTACTTTGAGATAAAAATTAACTTGCCATTAAGATGTGGTTTTCACCTTCGGACCATGGAGTACACAGACAAAAAAAAATTAGGAACTCACCTACATTATTCATAATGTCACTAGAATTTGGATAAGCTTGCAAAATACATTCCTGTCAGTTTATCTTAATTTTCGTAATCCATAATGAGCTTCACTTTGTGAACCAGAAGTGGCAGAGATGGGGTGAGAGCGAGTTGCAGATTTAAGCAGTTTCATATGGAGACCCCAAACGACTAATATGGCTTACATATGCACGTATACACCACAAGCGTACAGTACACTTTTGCATAATGTGGGTCTCTGAGCTTATTGATTTGTTTTAATTTTTATTTGCTATTTCTGCTTGTTGAATGAAACTATAATTATAATAGCGCAAAAGTGAAATGAAAATGAATAACAGGTACTTCTGGAACCTGTCTTTAAACGTGTTTAATTAGACAAAACTTTTCTCTGCTGTAACTTCTAATTATGTCAGTGTACAAGTGCAGGAATTATGCAGGCCTGCAGCGGTTAGCGGAAGAAAATCAAATGTTTGTTTTTTCATACTTCACGTTAGGTTAGTGTGTATATCAATCGAATTGCAACTTCCTAGCTCTATTTCGATGACGTCACTCTGCTTACACATTGCTCTTTGTTTATTCTGATCTGTGGGTTTAGGTCTGACTTCGAGTCTTCTTCCTTCTACATTCACAACATTGTGAAGTGTGAGAAATGATACGTATATCTTCCCTACAGCTCTGAATGCTAGTGAATTTTAACCAAGAAATCCTTACAAACAGCATCTTCGAAGGTAGAGAGAGTAATAGGTAGCCGGAGCTTAGGAAAGTGGAATTTGAGGATGAAAAGTGGATGTACTTGACTCAAGATGATGTCCTGTAATATGTGTACCTGGCTTTGGTATCTGCGAAGATGAAGCTTTGGTGTGTACTTCCGTGTAATTTATAGTGAGTTAACTGCTGCAGTTAAACTAAGGATAATGGTAATAAACAATAATAATTTAAATATTAATAAATATAAAATGTAACAATTTTTAAATGTAATTAATTTAAGTAATTTTCCTTGTCGTTTTAAATTTCTGGCATCTGTTTCTTGTGTTATTTTGAGCTGTGATTGGATGCAGTTAGAGCAGGTTAGGGCAGAAAGTAGAGAGACTGGCTACGGGCTGGATGACGGAGGGGGCGGAGTTCGAGTCTCTATAGGGTCAAGAATTTTCAGTTCTCCATGTCGTCCAGGAAGGCTTTCGGATCTACCCAACCTCCTATCCAATGGGTACCGGGGTCTGTTTCCTAGGGTGTAAAGCGGCCGGGGCATGAAGCTGACCACTCACCTCCAACTAGTGCAGAGATCAAGAAAACGTGGATTTAGATATCCACTCCCCCATACGCCTTCATGGCATAGTGTTTAATTAGTTAAGCACAGGAACAAATTTGCCTAATAGGACGCAATTGCATTTTATACGATGACATTAAAATGGATCTTGCAAGAATGTTATACGAACATACGAACTGAATTGGATTGAATGCTTGTCTTGCATTAAAAATGTTTTAAGCCGGCGGGGGTCCGGTTCTTCTGACATTTTCGTGTTTTCCCTCAGACCCTCTGGGCCATATTTTTAAAACAGATAACGAAAGCTTCATTCCATATTATTTATATTCATCATTTTCCCTCGTGCTCCTATTGAACTCTGTATAACGGTATTCAGTTGAAAATCCCGTCGGTAAACACCCCCAGGATCACGGACCTGCCTACTACAGCAATATCCTGTAAGTGCGGTAGTCCTGGCTAGAGCATTTTGCCTGACCTTGGCAACAGTTCCCTGAGTGGGAAAGCGTTGGAACTTCGTAGCGTGCACAAGAACAGAACTGAAAGCAGAGGTTTGGACACTGTTGCTCTCACGTGGCGTAGTCCTTTCGTTCCTTCATCTGTTCGTTCTTGTGACCGCACAGAATGCTAGATGAAACGAATCAGCGGATAAAGAGTAGGAATGAGATGGAAGAAGGGTCGCGCGCGAGCTTCTCCCCCACACCTCTCAGGCGGCACCCCCCTCCCCCCGGCCCCGTCCACAGCGCGTGCCTCAGACGTGAGGCGCATGGCTGAGTCGGTTCCCTTCTCTCTCGCTGCTAGGCTCCATCTCTGTCCACTGTTCTCGCGCTATAATCACCGGCAGGGTCACTGAAGGCTGCCTAATCCGTAGCGGTAGCACGAAGAGGCTGTAGCTGAGAAGGAAAGAAAGACGGAGGAGGGAAGTGAAGGCATGAAGAGCAACCAAAAGAATGGAAGAGAGAGGGGAAAGGAAGAAAAGACAGAGAAAGGAAAGGAAGGGTAACAATTAAGAACAAAAAAGTAAGAGGAGAAGTAACGTAAAATGAAAGGAAGGAAGAAGGAAAAGAGGAGAGCAGGAAAGATGAAAAACGAGAACAGGAAAAGAACGAGGAAGAGAGAAAAACGTCTAAGGAATAGAGGAAAAAAGGAGAAGAAACAGGATGGGAAATGAAGGAATAAATGAGAAGGAATGGTAAGAAGGACGATGAAGACAGAAATAAATAAAATAAGAGTACAATTAAAAAGAAAAGGAAGGGACAGGAAATGATTGGATTGATGAAAAGAGAAGGAAGAGAGTAAAAAGGCGGAAAACCAGAGGCATACTGAGGCTCTGAAAGGAAAAAGAAAAAGACGAGAACGAGTCGTTGTTTACATTCCATACAGTACGGACAGCACTTTGTAAGATGAGGCACCGACTAAACAATTAACATTAATTTATTACATCTACATCACGAACCTCCTATAAAATCTTATATACAAAAAGAAAAATATATAGAATATTCCAATTTGTCCATGGGAACGTACGAAAATACAATACCGACGACTGATTCGATGTTATAAAACATCAATTAAAATTCTATTCTTGTATTATACTATAACTTCTGTTTTATATATAATCTGATTTATTGTATTTTTTACGTCAGTTCCGATGATGGCATTGGATTTTTTTTCAATTGACCTAATCCTTCCAGCCGTACTGTGGCCCTGGGGTTCACTCAGCCTCTAACACAAATGAGTACCAGGAATTAATTAAATAATTTTCCTAGGGAGTAAAGCACGGCCGGCGCGTAAGGCTGACAACTTTACCGCCATCTTTGAGCCGATTGTCTAGATAATGTGGGACCTTCAACGTCTCACAACCCTATGGGCCTTCACGGCCTGGTACAGGGATAGCTTTACTTTTTATTTTAACTATTTTATATGTTTAATAGTATTGTATCCAGTTTAATAGTACTGCAGTTCAGTGGTGTATATATGTTAACCATGTATTTGCCTGATGAGGGCTATAGATAGCCGAAACATGTAGCAGAGCCGTAACTGGGCATTGGCTTTGATATTTGTTGTGTTGTGACGGTTAATAAAGAAGTTGTATATTGTAACACAATAGGATGCATCAAATGAAAATTGTAAATTAGTTATAATTATTAAGAGATTCCATGATATTTTTATCTACTAAAACAATCACACCCATAATAACCCATGGTCACACCAGAGATCATCTTTCATCAGTTATTTGTTTTGTGGTGTACAAAAGATTAAGATTTCTTTATGTCATTACATAAAATGTGCTCTTTGATTCAAGAATCCTATTGACAAAATTTCCAGAATCTTCAATAGAAGTTCTCGTATTTTTTTCAAGTCTCTTGATGAAACGCTTAATTGAAAAGCGTTCAACTGGGATCTCTGTACACTTCACCACGTATTACTGAGGAAGAGGAGATGGACAGAGTTCGGAAGTTGGGCAAGTGACGAGGCAACTCTGGATACCAAGGATATACTAGAGGGTACTGTTGACATATATTGCCCGTATTGAATAAGCAG